GTGGGGGGGGGGGGGGGGGGGGAGGGCTATAAAAAGTGCAGTTACTTGCTTGTCCCCGTCTTAATAGGGGCGAACATTTAGTAAGAAGTGAATAAATATGGATTTAAACACATGTATAAATAGATAGATAAATAAATAGGTCTTAAGTTAGGTTATTTCTGCCGATCAACCACCTACACCAGGTAATATTTAAATTTGCGAGAAACCTCTTGGTAGGTTATGCTTGGTTCAAGTAGCCGGCTGACTGAAGCTATCTATCAGTCGATAATATGTTTGGCTGATTGGCCCTCATTAGCCGATCGACATTAATGGTTTATTGGTCAAATTTGGATTTTGGTCCAAGGGAACTGAGGTGATGGACATATCTGGTTCACGTGTAGTATAACTTCATCGTTGATGGGTATTCTCTGACCACATCTCTCTCACCCCGTCAGATTTTCTTAGGATTTGTGTTGACGTATTTTTAGTGTATATATTTAGTTTCTTGATTCTCTTGCTTCTTGACATGTATGTTGCGATAAGAACAAGAGAATTAATTTAATAGAAAATGTGAATAATAATTATGATTACTTAATAATGCAATAATTGAGCTCCCCTTGAATTCCGTGCTCGTGATTTCTATAAATATGGAGTGAGTGGTGCATTTCATCCCATCGCCCTTTGATTTCCTCACCCAATCTATTAGAGTTCCTAGAAGTCAAGATGGTTAATGAACTGTCACTCAAAGCTAGAAAGTTTGGAAAAACTACTTATTAGATGGCCTTTGATGGTCTTACGCGAAAGACTGGCTCCTAATAAGAGGGGGAGCTGAATCAGTAGGTGGTGGTGAGGAAACGACCGAGGCATGACTCGGAGGATTAGGTGGGATCTTTGGATTCACCTCTTAGACGCCTTGATGAGGAGGTGCAGGCAGAAAAACACTACCTGTGAGAGGGTGTCCATAAGGGGGAGAGTTGCCTGTAGGGGGCTCCTAAGGTGGAAGGTAGTGGCCTCCCATAGGAAACAACCAGTTGAGTTGTCAGCTCCAATTTTTACTCTAGATCTAAGAGCGGAGAAAACTGTTGAGAGAACTATGCAAGAGGCTCCTGATACCTCAACGCTGCCTGATGCGCATAATGTCGTTGGCCTTCTATTGCCAACTAAAGGGTGGCCTACTAGTGAGGAAGGATTCTCTTTTACTACTTCGGAGTGGGAACATATGTTGGGTACACAGGACGTTTGTAGGATGAAATTAGATTTTTCTGAATTTTGCTTTATATATATTATTTGTATATTTTGCTTTATATATATATATATATAGTTGATCATATCACCGGAGCGGTGATCATCGATTATCCTTCAGCCACGAGGGTAGATGTGGTAACCAAGGTAGCGATCAATCGAGGTTATGCTAAGGACACCTCGCGTCAAGCCAAGGCTAGAGGCACCCGTTAGAGCGTTCAAGGAGAAGTCTGAGCAGAGACAACCACAGAGTTAAAACCTTCCTGTTCAAAGGGGCATCGACTATGAGATGGATAATTCATTCCTTTAAGCAACTAGATTCTCCAAGGTCGAGGAATATCTTCATCAGACTTTTCAATTTCTCTTCTCTCAACTTCAATATCTTTTTGAACTCTTATCTCCAATTCTCTTCCACTTCTTAAATTAACAACTTTAACTTGTTCATTGCTCTGGTCCTTAGGATTAATTTCAGTATTACTAGAAATAATTCCCTCACGCCTATTGCTAAGGGTGTTGGCAATTTGTCCCAGCTGATTTTCAATGTTTATAATTGTTGCTCCTTGACTCTGTAATTGATTACCCATATGTAACACTATTTCTTCTAAGAAAACTTTTTCTCCTTAAATTGTTGGTTACTGTTAAATCCTAGAGGATAAGTTGGTCTACAGTTAGTATTATTCTGGTTGTTCTAATTTTCTAATGAGTTCGTTTGATTGTTCCCCCATTGCTAGTTAGCACCACCAGAATTATTATTCAAGTTAAAATTAGAGTGATTTTTTTAACCCGAGTTGTAAGTTAGAATAGAGTTTATTAGGTTTATTGTTAATTGCATTTAAAGTCTCAAATGCTGGAAAGTTAGAATCAATCATTTGTCCTAATAAATTTCCTTCAATCACTGAAGGTTTTTGTGATAAATTCATTTGAAATTGATTTTTTTTTTGATATCATAGCTACTTAAGATGATAACATAGAAATAACATCATAATCATGAACACTGGCTATTCTTTTAGGATTTTCCTGTCCAAAATTATTCAAAGTTATTTTTTAAATTAAAGAATATGCTTCATCAAAAGGTTTTGACATTAATGAACTACCAACAGCAACATCAATAATAGATCTAAGAGGTCCTACTAACCCATTATAAAATGTTTGAATTATTAATAATCGGGCAAAAAATGATGTGGACACTTCCTAAGAAGTTTTTTAAAGTGTTCCCAAGCCTCATATATTGATTCTCTTTTGAATTGACAAAAAAGATGAAATATGATTTCTAAGCTTAGCAGTCTTTGAAGGTAAAAAATACTTAGCCAAGAATTTCTGAGCTAGGTCACTCCAAGTTCTAATAGATCTAGGTTGAGTTCAACCACATTTTAGCTTTATTGCTTAAGAAAAAAAGGAAAAATCCTAAGTTTAACAATATCGTTAAAGACATCATTATACTGAAATGTGACACAAAGTTCTAGAAAATTTGTAAGATGTAAGTTAGGATCTTCAGATGGAGTTCCACTAAACTGGTTATTTTGTACCATCTGAATGATCAAAGATTTTAATTCAAATGTGTTGGCTTCTACGGCAGGAGTTCGCATACTTGGATAAATTTCATATACCGTAGAGTTAGCATAATCTCTAATGATTTTTGTACATTCTCATCGATTTGATTTTCTAAATTCTTATATAAGGTATTTATCATTCCTTGAAAATTGTGAAGTTTTTTTTTTTTATTTTTTGATTATTCTAATAGTTCGCCTGAAATCGTAAGACAATAATTCTTCAGATTCTGTACTATGCATACACTATTAAGGATACATAACAAAAATAAATAAAACACACAAAATATGTACGTATGTATATATATGTATGTATATATATATATATATATATATACATACATATATATACATACATAAATGACACTACAGTTTTCTTATATTATTTCTTCAGTTAAAATAAAGATTTCTTAAGTAAAAAGGTTTCGTTTCTATCCCCGACAACGACTCCTAAAACTTTCCCAACCCGCAATTACGCAGTAATTTTAGTTCAAAAATATGACAAAAAAACTTGACCCAATTTATATTTAGTGGCTTGTGAACACAATTAAATATTATATTAAGATGATAAAATGGTTTACACCCTAGGCATACTAAGCAAGTATATGTATCGTTTCAAGTAATATAAAGCTCTAATAGAGTCTTAAATATCAATCTTACAGTGATAGACAAAACTAGTAAAATCTTCTTTAAACTACAGTTAACTAATATTAGAAATGATAAAAAGTTTTTGTGTATTACCTAATCCTACAGAATTAAAAGGAATGGTAAGTATGCTAAACAGATGCAGAATGTAAATACAAGACTAAAATGCTTAAATGTAAAGTTACCACTAAGCAATTCTAAACTAACAATGTATAGAAGAGTTCAAAGTTGTATAAAACATCATTTCCCTTGCAATGAGTTTATAATCAGTGTATAATTAAAATATTTTTAAATATAATCAATATATTGTGCCAAATAGGAGCATACTTATTCTTTACATTCTCTTGAGTGCATAAAAAATATTGGTTTATACAGAGTTTAGTCCCTAAACTTGTGGTTAGGCTGGAAAGAAACTGGCTGTCACTCTAGAGTTTCCACTTACCCCTCACCTGAAGGCTAACATCTCGCTTTAGTATCCAAACAACTAGATCTAATTGGGGATTTTAGTCAGTCACTCTAAAATCTCCATTCTACACTTATCAAAAATTTTACTCACAAAACTTTTTTCCCTATTTATTTGCACTTAACCCCATGAACTATATTCTCGTCCATGAAACTAAATATAATTCTTACTCTGTTGTGGAAGCATAACCATTGTCGGGTCACTTCGTTTCACAATGGATTTTAAAAAATCAATTGACATAATCTATAGGTAAATTAAGCATAGAGCTTGAATCATCACAATTTATGGAATTGAAAGAACTTCTACTTAACTTCATTCCAAAACATATTATTCCTCATTGTGGCGAGAAAGACAAAAGAAACTACTTAAGTCTCATGGGGAAGAAAAAACAACACATGAATTTATATATAAATATAAGTTTACAAAACAAGGCTAAGTAAAATAAACAAAGTACACAACTTATCTTAAACTCCTTCCCATGTAATTCTTCTAATTCATTTGAATCACTCTCTCTCCTTACAATTCCACTTCAATCTCACTTAGAACTATAGTGAAGAAGATATCTCCCACTTCTCCTCTTATCCTCCAAATTTAAG